ATCATAGAAAAATTTTAAATTAGAGTATGTATGTATATACCATGGGACAACCTCCTTTAAATTACAAAGTTATCACATTAAATTCTGATAAAATCAGCATTTCAGTAAAAATAAGTATGGATATTCGAAAAGCTATTATTAGACAAAAATTCAAAACTATGGTATGAGAAAAATACAATCAAAGGTATAACATTTACAGAATATAGTTCCTGACCTAAAGCACTGCATAGGCATGAAACCTATGAAAAAGGATGTGAGAAAGCTTAAGATTCCATTTTAGAAAGAAGAAACTGGTGTTCAGGGAACTTAAACGTATATCCACGTATCTTATGGCTTATAAATGCCACACAAACAATGGAACATATTTTGACTTAATCATCTTTTTTATGGTAGAGAAATATTAAGTGCAAATTAAGTGCCAAACATGTATTCAGAGCTGGATTTTCAGGGAATGTAGATAGTTTCTGCCCTTATGAAAGAGCGTCCAGAGATCTGAGTGGAAAGGATTAGAGGTAATGCAATCTTGATAGAAGACCTTTTCAATAACTCAGGGGTATTGTGTCCTGGAAGTGAATATTGGCAGTAGTGTTGAAAAGCAAAGTGTCTATTCCAGGGAATGATGCGAAGTAGAATTTATAATTTTGAATTTCAAGGATAATAGAGAAAGAAAGAAACCTAGGGAAAAGAAAACAATTGGAACAGAGATTCATTTTCTTTATGCTTATTTTTAGGGATGAAACATAGCAGAGTGATTAGATAAGGCCAGTGACAGACAGCAGAAAAAATAGGAAGATTTCTCGACTGAAAGAAAAATGTCTCATAATAAAGATTATCAGAAAATGAAATTGGCGGCTTTGTGAAAATCCCTGCTGAAGGCATTTAATAAAGTGCTGGATCACCACTCATTCCTTTGTTGTCAAATTCGAGCACCCAGGAGAAGAATTGATCTTCCTGAGTACATATTCTGTTCCAACTTGGATTTTGTGGCTGTTATAGTAAAAGTAACTTAAAAGTATAGAGTCAATCTGATTCTGACAATGATTTAAATGAAACCCAGACAAGTGAGATAAGTTAAAAACAAAGAAACAAGAAAAAACCCACTTTTTTGGACTATGTGTTTGGTGATAGAAGGGTCAGATGCTGGGCATAAAGTAAGAAGAAAGGGTTAGTTTGGATTGGACACCTGTAGTTTTAGAAGCCTACTTGTAGATGTATAGCTATAAATCAGGGTTTCTAGACCTCAGTACTCTTTGTTGTTGGGGACTACTCTATACCTTGTAGGATTAGCTACTTCCCTGGTTTCTACTACTAGATGCCAGTAATGCCAGTAACTTCTCCCGCTCTCCCAAGTCGTGACAACTGAAAATGTCTCCAGACATTACTAAGTGTCTCTGAGGGCAAAAAAACCATCATTGAGAACCACTGATATGGGTGTGCACTAGCTCCATTGTGTCTGTTTTACTTGTAGTGTGGAAAGAAATGAACCCTAAAATAGGGGCAGTAAAAAGGTAGGTTGCTCCTAAGAGGAACAGAGGTCATTTTGTGGGGGGGCCACTTTATTAATGCAAATGCTTGACCCTGAGACAAAAACCACGTATGATCTATCTTTGAAAACTTTAATTTCCCAAGACAACATCTTTCCTATGGCATGGGCCCAGTTAGTGTTTGTGAAATTCAACTGAGTTGTTCAGCGGATGCCTAGAAAGCAAAGCAACCAACAAAAATGTTTAAGTACATATTAAAATTTTAAAACTAAAATTGGATATGAGGAAACCCAATGTGGAAAAAGCAGAGATTCTTTGTGAATCAGTGAAATCTTTGTGAATCTTTGTGAATTCAGTGAAAACTGAATGCATTTTAGTTAGAAGAGAGGAAGCAGGTAAATGGATTTGTGGTCTTGTTCTCTGGATTAAACCTGGTGTTAGAACTTCAGGAGAGGACTTTAGGCATACAAGGATACAGGAAAGATGGGAAGCACTGTTGATTAAGACACCAAGGTACTGGAAGCCCTGACATTGTTTTCATCTCTCTCTACATCTGGATTTGCTTCAAGAACCAGTGAGCTTTGGAGTTTGTAAATATTCTCTTAAATGAAGTTCATAGTGTTTCAGTGTAAGTTCTTCCAGTATGGTCATATGAACAGGAGTGCAAAAGGAAGTGAAGAGCAGGAGTTTGCATATTTACTTGATTCCAACAGGACCATACTGCACAGAGAATGTTATTGACAGCTGTGTACCCCATGGAAGAACCAAGGAGAAAGGGAGATCTCAGGTCAAGGCAAGCTGCTCAGTTCTGCATAGCATCTCGTTTCTGCTGAGTTCTGCATCTTTCCTATAATACCAACAACTAGGAGCAGGTGTCTGTGAGATCACTTCCCACTAATCTAACTCACCTGGATTATTACAAGGACCATCAGTCATTATAAATGTCTGAAGAACCGTGATAAATAACACGGAATTCTAGTCTTAATCTGTATTATGGATGGATAAATGTTTCAATCCTTTACTGATAGGAATGAAAAGTTGAAGTTTATTGAAAAATATTTTTTCCCTTGAATCTTTGCTTTTCTAAGTACTTTTAGTACACCAGATGGATATTCCGTATCCTGCAAGTGGAGAGATAAGTTGCTTGCTCGTGTAAATTTGCAGTTGAGGTAATGGATGGTAACATATATATAGTTTTATACACGAATACACATACACACACACAAACCTATATAACAGATACATAAGTAACAGGTCCGAGCACTAATTACAGGTATCCTCTTGCAGAATCACCGTGGTCCTGCTAGGACTATAAAGACAAAAATTTTTAAAATATTAGAGAAAATAAAGATGCCGTACACTTTAGACAATTTTGAAATGTCATAGAAATTTTATGGCTGAACACCAGTTCCTGAATTCTGACCATGTTTTCAGCCTCAGTAGAAAAAATATTCTTTGTGGCATCAATGTCGTTTGCTACAGTCATACCTAGACTAGACCCAAATTGAAGCTACAGTGGCTTCAATTTGGATCTAGTCTTTGACTCCTATTGACTTTTAAGTTCCTCTTATGTAAAATGTGGATTGGGTCTCAGGTTTGCCTGGAATTTCTATGTGAAAGGTATAGTCTCTTTCCTCAAGAATATCACGCTTTTATTAGTAAACAAGATAAAGTTTCAACAAAGTATTAAGAACTTAAAGCTGGGGGCTGTAGAGCATTAAACTCCAAGCACAGGAACCTTGTCTGAGCACTGGGCCTCATAAACTGCACGGATTGCAAACCAGTATGATTGGCTCTGATTGTGCCTTACATATGGCGTGCTCTCAATCCATGATGGATAAATTGAATTGATCGGTTTAGTGACTATGTAGTGAAATATCCAATTAAATTTGTGCAAGTAAATATCACCATTCCATACTTGTCTAGGGAGAAGGTAGGGAAGAGTTTGCTATGTGGAAGGATTCATGGAATTTTAAAGAATTGCATATGTGTTGGTCTGCATATAGAAGCAAACAAGAGAATCTACTTGTGAAGTAGAATTTATAGTTTTGAATTTCAAGGATGAAAAAAATAGAAAGAAACTGAAGGAAAAGAAAAAATTGAGACAGAGATCTATTTTCTTTTCGCTTTTCTTCGGGACGAAACATAGCAGAGTGATCAGATGAAACGAGTGACTGACAGCAGAAAAAAAGGGAAAGATTGCCAACTGAAGGGAAAATGTAATCCGCAGTAGCAATGAGGAAAGGCATCCTGAAGAAAGTGATTCCAGATCTGAGTTTTGATGTATAAACAGAAGGTTTTTGGTTGATAATTGAGGGTGTCAAGAAAAATACTAATGGCAGAAAAAAATGATACTCATTTTCCTCTTTCATATCTTGAAAAGATAAGTGTGATAGAGAGGATTATTGGGAAGAAAGAGGGCACCTTGTATTTCAAAATCACAATGAACATTTTTGTGGAAGATTGAGAACTCGTAATAAGTGGGTAATTGAGAATTTTGAATGAGTAGCATGAAATGCATGTATGGAAAGGGGACAAAGTTTATTTTTGTGCTACTTTATATCATAGAAGTGTTAGTTGTTAAAGGTGGGTTTTTGCTGTCAGCAACCTGAAATTGTCCTCTTTCCTTTAGCTTCTGAAGTAAATGTTCAAGGAATAGTAGTTAAGGGAGAAAAAAATGGTTTATTAAATTCTAGGAATGTACCCGTATTTCATCATGCAAAACTTTGATGAAATCTGTATTGGAGGAAAGAACTGGAGTTTCTGGTTGAATGAATTTTTTTGATTCCTTATCCAAATAAAGCTGTTTAGGTTTTAAAAGGCTCCTCAATGACAATTACTTACATAGCTTAAGAAATGGGAGAAAAAAGGAGGGCTTCTCTGCCTCCCGAAGGTCTTGATTTGCCTGGTGTATGGAAGGAAAATGTAAAAAGCACCTGCAGGTAGCATACAGTCTGGCTTTGAATGATCAGATGTGAACATGTTTCTTGGGATTTGAGGGAGGTTGGAGAAGGAGTAGGTGTGGAAGTGCAGAGTGAGTTGGGGAAAGAAGCCTGGCAAGAAGTTGTAATGATTCAGGAAAGAGAATAGAGGTGTCTCCTTCCCTATGGGTAGAGGTAGACATTTTAGGAAAAAAGAGAGAGAGAAAAAAAGGATAAAATTTTTTTATGATCCCCCCAAAACTAGTTCTGTAAGATATATATTTACTGATAGGAGACTTTGAAAATCAGTATCAGCTTTATATTTGGGCACATGATTTCATTGAGACAGATCTTTGGCAGAGCAGATTAAAACGATGCTCCTGAAATGAAACTAGAGTCTCCAAAATAATTGGTTCATTTTAAGCAAAATATTATGCTTATAATTTATATGAAATATAAATTGATGGTCAACAGTGACTGGCACATAATAGCTGTTCAAATATTTGTTGGCTAAGTCAGGGAGTGAATGATATGCTTTGGCAATTACTGACAGTATATAAAGGTCTCAGGGAAGCAGAAGACATCCACACCTCAGAAGCATCTTCTTGAAACCCATCTCAATTCTCTCCTCTTGACAACATGTGTTGCAACTACTATGGCAACTCCTGTGGCTATGGCTCCGGCTATGGCTGTGGCTATGGCTGTGGTTATGGCTGCGGCTATGGCTCCGGCTATGACTGTGGCTATGGAACTGGCTACGGCTGTGGGTATGGCTGTCGGTTTGGCTCCCGTTATGACTGTGGTTATGGAACTGGCTATGGCTGTGGATACAGCTCTGGCTCTGGCTACTGTGGCTACCAGCCATTTTGCTTTAGAAGATGCTATTCTTCCTGCTAAAATATCACTGTCAGACGACCATTTGCTTCTAAAATGACACATCTAAAGATAATGCTGATTCAAGGATTCATACTCCAAGATTTCTATATCCAAGAATTACATGCTTGACAGAGTTTTGGACCTCTAGCCTCACATTTCTTTGAATGAAATCACGGCCATGGGATCCATGGTGTCATCTGACTGTTTTCCAAATGTTATCTTTTTCTCCCTTAATCTCTGATTCTCTGTTATGACTGCAGAGAATGACTGTTAATGATCATAACATCCACAGTTGGGGAAGTCAATCTTTTGCAATAAAAATGGTTCTTTATTTCTAAAAATCTTTGTGTACTTGCTTGTGAATTACTCCTTTCTTGGGGTGTTTTGGTATCTCTTGAAAATTGGGCTAACAGTATGTTGGCTGAACCTTAGGTATTTCCTTGATATACCGCAATTATTTCCTCTTATGTTTACATCATAAATAATGTCTTCTCTACCTGCTTCTCATATCCCACATGCTCAGTCTCTCACATGCCCAAGCACAAATCACAGATTATTTCAGAACTGTGCTTTGGAAATGGCACTGAGTGTCTAGAATGGAGCTGGAGGGGGAAAGGGAGGGGAAGTGACACCTATTCAGGATGTTATGACAAAAGTCTCAGGGAGGAGATATAGCCTGAGTGCTTAAAGAAGTAATGTAATCTCATCACTTTGGGAGGCCGAGGTGGGTGGATCACCTGAGGTCAGGAGTTCGAGACCAGCCTGGCCAACATCGTGAAACCCTGTCACTACTAAAAATACAAATTATTAGTGGGGCTTGGTGGCGCATGCCTGTAATTCCAGCTACTCAGGAGGTGGAGACGGGAGAATTCCTTGAACCCTCAGGAGGCAGAGGTTGCAGTGAGCTGAGATTGCACCACTGCACTCCAGCTTGGGTGACACAGTGAGACTCCATCTCAAAAAAAAAAAAAAAAAGTAATGCAATAGAAGAGATCACTTCCAGGATTGTTGAAAATTTTGAGTTAGGCTCAAGTGTTAGGCATGAGGAATAAAAACCTAAAAAAGGGTAAGTTAGAAGAAAAAGTGTACTATCAAATTTATCTACATCTGACAAAAGCACAAGTATATTTGTTTGCTTACAGGGAGGTTGAGAAATGTGATTTAATTCACTTAAGAAATAGTTTTGCATAGACACCATCCTAGACACTGAAGACACAGAAGAAAAATTATAAGCAAATGTCCTGCTCTCAGAGTGTTTATAGTCTAACAGATGAAGATTTAAAAAAGCAAAAATAGGCCGGGCCCAGTGGCTCACGCCTGTTAATCCCTGCACCTTGGGAGGCTGAGGTGGGCAGATCACTTGAGGGCAGGAGTTTGAGACCAGTCTGGCCAAGATGGCAAAACCCCGTCTCTACTAAGAACACAAAATTAGCCAGGCGTGGTGATGGGTACCTGTAATCCCAGCTACTTGGGAGGCTGAGGCACGAGAACCACTTGAACCTGGGAGATGGAAGTTGCAGTGAGCCAAGATCGTATCATTGCACTGCAGCCTGGGCAACAAGAGCAAAACTCCGTCAAAAAAAAAAAAAAAAAGAATAATAAAAAAAGCAAAAATGAATTATGATAAATTCAGACAGATAATTGCTATAGAGGGAATAAAGCAGCTTAATGGAGAGGAGATTAATGTTTGAAGTACTGGAGAGACAGCTCAGAGAAGTATTTTGAGATTGTGACATTTGAGCTCATAATACAACATTTTCAGAGCAAAGACAGACTAAAAAGGACAGTAGTAAGTACCAAGGGGGAGAGCAGTTCATTGAGTTTTGGATGTGATGAAGGTGATGACACAGTTTTCAGTTAGAAAAGAGCAAGGTCTAGTATCTTAATGGAGTTCTTTTTAGATTGGGGTGGTCATAAAAATGAGATTAAAGGGTTTGTTCTAGTTTCCTGGCTGACTTTCTGATGTGGAGTGTTTACTGCTTCTTGGATTCTGATTTTAGTGTCCTTTCCTCCAGTTCTAGACCATCCAAACTCTATCATTTAAATCTTACAATAGAGAGTCTTCTGGATTCAGTAGAAACTTCTCACAGTCAGCAGTAATAACGGTGTCCCTGTTTCATCCACACACCAGGGACCATTACACCAAGTCTGGCTCTCTGAGGTCCCTGGAGCTGGGTGACCCCACAAAAATGTCTGGCTCTAAGAAAGATAGCCCAACAATCAATATCAGCCCAGGAGGAAGGCTACATCCAGGATGGAATCTGTCCAACTGATGGACAATCGGGGTTTCTTCCAAGAGCAGGATACCTTTCACATCTGGAGTATTTGTGAGTCAGATCTGTGGACTAACTGCTTTCTGGAACTCTGAGGTTATTATAGTATTGCAAGCAGTGGATGACACTTAACATATCTTCAAAACCTGAAATATTGTGGCTATCTCAGTTTAAGAAAATTTTGAGACATTCAGCTTGTGTGAAATGAGAAAATGGTGATAATGGTAACAGAGACAGAGATGATAAAATTAGAGAAGGTTCGTGCGTGTGTGTGTGTGTGTGTACACACTTGTGTAGGTGTGGCCTGTTTGGTGGAGGTTGGGAAAAATGGATATGTGAATTCACATGTGTAATCACATTATGGAGGGAAGGAAAAACTATTTATATTTCACAATACTTTATGTGGTCGGAAAATGATTTAAGCTTCAAAGCTCCTTTATAAAGAAACACAAAACTCCTTTTTTTGGAATATGTTATTACATATTGTAGAGGATGTAAATTGTAAAATCTAAATTGTAAAATTTGTGCTTTTAGTTATTTAACAAACATTAAGATTCATGTTTCAGCTATGTGATGTGATTGGTGGGGAGACAGAGAGATAAAACACATAGTCCCTTCTAAGAATTCAAAATCTGCAGCGGGACACAAAATACTAAATCATACATAGCAGGTATGCTTGCAGGTATGATGGCATTACCAAGAAGAGCTCAAGGGGGAAACTTAAATCTGCATGTGGAAAGAGAAGGCTTGACAAGGGTCAGAAATTGCTTCCAAAGAATGATAGGAAGAGAGCCATAAAGGATGAGGTAGATTTGGTCAGTTACAAGAGACGGAAAATGGAATTCAAGGCCAAGAAATTCAAGGAAAGAAGAAAATAAGCTGTCAGTTTATTGAAAGAGTAGGAGGCTCCACTGTGAAATTTTAATCAGTATCCACTTCCATAAAAGAATTATCACATCTCTTGAGTGAGCTGCACTGTCTGATATGGTGCTACTAGCCAGCTGTTGAGCGCTCAAAATATGGATAGTTCAAAATGAAATGCACTGTAAGTGTAAAATACACAGTAGATATCAAAGACTTAATAGAAAAAAAGAATGAAAGCATCAAATACATTTAAATTATTTATTATATATTAAATGATAATATTTTGAGACATTAGGGTGAATACAATATGGTTTAAAATTAATTCACCTGTTTCTTTTTACCTTTTTAAAATGTGGACATTGGAAAATCTAAATTTCTCAATGTGTTTCATGGTATATTTCTATTGTAGAGTGTTGTCTTAGAGGGCCAATCATAACAAACTGGCCACGTAAGGACACTGGCTAGAAAGAGAAGTCATGTTAGGCCACTAGCAAAGATTAGGAAGTCTAACCATGTTATCCAGGTATAAGCAGTAGGTCAGCCTGAGGCCATAGGACCAGAGTTGCCAGTGCTGCAGACTTCAGGGGAGGAGCAAAGTCCCTGTATACACAAATTTTCCATCTGGGATAGTTTATTCAGTAAATCTGTGCCTTAGTTTGTTTGTTTATAATAAACAGAAACTTATTAGCTCATAGTTCTGGTGGCTGGAAAATCCACTGTCAAAGTGATGAGGGTCTTCCTGCTGCATCAAAACATGGCAGAAGGCATCACATGGTGAAAGACCAAGAGAGGGCAAGAGAGAGAGCAAGACGGGGTGAAACCATTGCCGCAATAACAGACTTGCTCCTGTGATAATGGTTTCAGTCCATTTATGAGGGTGGAGCCTTCAAAACCTAAACACCTCATAATGGTCTTACCTCCCAATACCTTCCCAATGGCAATTAAGTTGCAACATGAGTTTTGAAGGGGGCAAACATTGAAACCACAGCAATGGGATTGATCAGTGTCCCACCTGTTTAGATACAAAGGTATAAATACCTACCTCACACTATGTTCCATAAGAAATTCCACATTAATTAAAGTTCTGCACATGAAAGTTAAATTATGAAAGTACTAGAAGCTGGTGTAGAGTTTTAGGAATTTTGGCTAGGATTGTAAAGATCACAAAGAAAGAAAATCCAGATGGTAGAGGTGTAAGACAAAAGTTGCAAAATATTGGCAATTTTAGTCAAACAAAGTGCATATTTTCCATTTGAAAAACTAAAGAAAAAAATAATTTATGGGTCCTTCCTGAGCTTTAATATTCTTGCAGGGGTTAAATCGATTTGATTCTACCACTAAACAGCTGAGAGTCCTTGGGCAAGTGACAACTACCTGTGGCTTCTGTTTTCACATCTGTGATGTGTGTAAAAACAAACACCATAGGTACATGGAAGTTGCTTTACATCAATAATCATCAGAGAAATACAAATCAAAATCACAGTGAGCTATCACCTCATACCTGGTGTGATGGGTATTATAAAAAAGATAAGAGATAACAAGCGTTGGCGAGGAAGTGCCATAAAAAACATTTGTGCACTGTTTTTGATGGGAATATAAATTCATATGGCCATTATGGAAAACAATATGGAGGTTCCTCAAAAAATGAAAATTAGAACTACCACATGATTTAACCCTACTTCTGGGTTTATATGTGAAGGATACAAAATCAGTAGCTCAAAGAGATATATGCATTCCCATGTTTGTTGCAGCACTATTTACAATAGCCAAGACATGGAAAGAACCTAACTGTTCGCTAATGGGTGAAGGAAAAAATAAATTGTGGTGTGTATTTGTAATGGAATATTATAAAAAGGAAAGAAATCCTGCCATTTGCAACAGCATAGATAAACATGGAAGACATTATACTAAGTGACAAGTCAGCCAGAGAAAGACAAATGCTGAGTAATCTTACTGATATGTGGAATCTAAAAAAGTAGAATTCAAAAACAGAGTGGAATAGTGGTTGCCAAGGGGTCGGGGAGGTGGAAGAAATGGGAAGATGTTAGTTTAAGAGTACAAATCTTCAGTTACAAGAAGAATAAGTTCTGGAGATACAGTTTACCTCATGGTAACTAACTATAGTTAGCAATACTGCATTGTATGCTTGAAATTTGCTGAAAGGGTAGATCTTAATTGTTCTCACCAGAGAACAAAACAAAAATGCTATTTATGTGATTATTGTGTTAACTTACTTGATTGTATCAATCATTTCTCAGTAAATATGTGTATCAAATCATCATGTTGTATAACTTAAGCTCACATGATTGTCTTTGTCCATTATGCCTCAATAAAGCTGAAAAATAACAAAAACACAACTTCTTACTTTACATTGTTTTCATAAGAATCAAAGTAAGTAATAAATGTAAATGTGACTCAAAAATTGTAACAGGATGTCTACTTTGGAAAATGTCTATTCATGTTCTTTGTCCACTTTTTTCATGAAACTATTTGTGTTTTTTTTTTTTTTTTTTGGTGGTTGTTGTTAAAGTGTTTGAGTTTCTTGTACATTCTGAATATTAGCCCCTGTCAGATGCATAGTTTGCAAATATTTTCTCCCATTCTTCAGGTTGTCTGTTCACTTTGTTAATTATTTCTTTTGCTGTGCAGAAGCTTTTTAGTTTAATTAAGTCCCATTCATCTATTTTTGTTTTTGTTGCATACTTTTGAAGTATTAGTCATGGATTATTTGCCTTGACCAATGTTCAGAAGAGTTTTCCCTAGGTTTTCTTCCAGTATTTTTATTGTTTCAGGTCTTACATTGCAGTCTTTATTACATCTTGAGTTGATTTTTGTGTATGGTGAGAGATGGGGTCCAATTTCATTCGTCTGCATATAGCAATCCAATTTTCCCAGCATCATTTATTGAAGAGGGTGTCCTTTCCCCAATGTATTTTCTTGTTGACTTAGTCAAAGAACAGCTGGCTATAAATATATGTTTATTATAACCTTTATTTCCAGGTTCTCTCTTCTTTTTCAATGATCTATATATCTATATTTATACCACTACCATACTGCTTTGGTTACTATATTCTTGTATATATATTATACACATATACAATACTATACATATAATGTTGTGTATACAATAAGTTTTGATAAATGAATTCGGTAACATTTTTTGGTAAAGTTGTTAGGTTTTTCTTTATTTAAGATCATATCATCGGCAAATAGACATACTCAACATTGCTAACCATCACAGAAATGCAAATTAAAACCACAGAGACGACATCATCTTATACTACTCAGAATGGCTGTTATTGAAATGACAAAAAATAACAGACATTGGTGAGGATGTAGAGAAAACTATAAAGGGAAATATAAATAATAATACTTATTATTGTTATCTTTCTCATATAACATCCTCTAAATTAAAATAAAAACATTTACAGCTGGAAGAAATCTCATAGGCTTTCATTTAAGTTAGTGAGTGTCCCTAGTTTGTTAGATTCACAGAAAATAAAGACAAAGTTATTGACCATAAATAACTCACAATCATCTGAGGGAATCAGATAAATAAAATAAGAGTATGCCAGTATAACATATTGAGGACCATAATAGAATTGAGCAAATAGATTCCTGGAAGAATGGTGGAGTGATGCTTAACACTTATTGTGAATGTCCAGGAATGCTTTCATAGGACATATAGCCTAAGCTGTGCTTTGAAGGATCAACAGGATTTTGGCAGGTAAAAATTGGAAGTCAGTAGCAAAGACACGGAATCAACTTAAATTTCCATCAATGGTAGGCTGGACAAAGAACGCATGGTACATATACACCATGGAATACTATGCAGCCATAAAAAAGAACAAAATCATGTCCTTTGCAGAAACATGGATGGAGCTGAGGCTATCATCCTTAGCAGTAAACTAATGAAAGAACAGAAAACCAAATACTGGAAGTTCTCACTTATAAGTGGGAGCTAAATGATGAGAACACATGGGCACAAAGAGGGGAACAACACACAGGGGCCTACTTGAAGCGGGGAGGGTGGGAGGAGGGAGAGAATGAGAAAAAATAACTTTTGAATACTAGGCTTAGTACCTGGGTGATGAAATAATCTGTACAACAAACTCCTGAGACACGAGTTTACATATATAACAAACCTGCACATGTACCCCGAACCTAAAATAAAAGTTAAAAAAAATTTGATGAAGTGGGCAAGATGTTTCAAAGAAAGTAACACACTGAAAAGTTCCAAGAAATCTTAGGGTAGATTATGGTGCATTGGGCAAAATCCTATTGCTTTTATTTTACTATATTGTATCAGACCTCTGTTTTACATCACTTCAGATCTTCGCCTCACCTGTCTCTTGCTCTAGCCACCACTGCAGTGGCCATCCTGCATGGGCTCCATCTACTTTCTTGCAAGTGTAACCTAAGAATGCCTCATTTTGTGCCTTTGCTGTTTGCTTCTCAACTCTAGTCTGGGAATTTCTTGTTGATTACTGAGATGGAAAATGCTGGGACATCTCCCAGTGCACAGGTATGTGTGTACCTGGAAGTACAGAAGAGATAATAGCCCCTGGAGTAAAAAAATCTAAATTAGGTTTGATTACACTCCACAAGGCATGCTTGTTCCATGTGCAGGTTACAGCTGTTTCTTTACAATTCTCATGGCTGGCTAGGGGCAAATCCTGGTCATAATTACCTGAAACACTCATTGTCCTTAGAATGATGAACTTTTTAAAAATGTAAATTGCTGTTGTAATGAGGCCACAGAGTCTGTGTTGTGTGCTCCACCCACTTCTGGTTGTATATAAAGGTCTCAGGGCAGAAGATGACATTCAGACTTCAGAATTGCCCACCTGCTTCTCTACTGAACTACTAAACACCCATCTCTAGACACCATGTGTTGCAACTACTACAGAAACTCATGTGGTAGCTGTGGCTATGGCTCTGGCTACGGCTGTGGCTATGGCTCTGGCTACGGCTGTGGCTATGGCTCTGGCTACGGCTGTGGCTATGGCTCTGGCTACGGCTGTGGCTATGGCTCTGGCTACGGCTGTGGCTATGGCTCTGGCTATGTCTGTGGTTATGGCTCTGGCTACGGCTGTGGTTATGGCTCTGGCTATGGCTGTGGATATGGCTCCAACTATGGTTGTGGATACGGCTCTGGCTACGGCTCTAGCTCTAGTTGCTGTGGCTACCGGCCATTTTGCTATAGAAGATGTTATTCTTGCTGCTAGAAAATAACTGCTGTGGACCTTTTCTTCTAAAAGGACCATTTCAAGGCCATTTCTGTTTCAATGTCCTACAATTCCATCAGATTCTACGGAATAGAGAGCAGTCAGAACCTGCAGAAAACAGATCATCTTATGAAATCCTGCTTACTGTTGTGGGGGCCTGAGTTACCCCATGATGTTTCTGGAAGACAGAAGACCTAACTCTGGCCGTGGTCCAGATGTAAACCTACTACCTTCTTATTTTATGTTTCTATATTGTAACTATTTCCAAATAAACATGTTTCATTGGTCCTAACAAGTTTTTCTTTCTTTTTTTTTTTTTTTTTTTTGTTTCAGGCATGCTATTGACTTACACTTTTGTCTTATATTTCTATGATGTCTTCAAAGATTGGGTGGGCTAATGCTAAGCTGCTCTTTCTAATTGTGCTTTCCATTCTGCTTGGTCCATGCCTGTGACGTACTAGATGTCATGTATTTTAAATATAGTCCCTGAAAAAATGGCTGTTTATTGGCTGAGTCTTCTGTTCTTAATTGATTTTCATTAAGGGTTTGTTCTTAAGTATTTGTGTTTCATGACTCTGGGTCTATCCATTTTTTCCACATTAACGAGCAATAACGCACACACACACACGCGCGCACACACACACAGAATGCCATAGAAAAGCCTGCTTTAGGAAAATGCTAATGGCACAAAAATGGGTTGGAATGGAAGAGACAGAAAGGTTAAAATGTAAGTATAATAACGATTTGGATACTGGTTAAAGAGATCTGCACTTCAGTGTAGATAATGAAAAAGAACAGATGAACATCAGAGACTTGGTGAAGGTAGAACCTGTAAAATCTTAGACTTCAATAAAGAAAAAGGGGAAACATCTAGGGAAGAAAATATCTAAAAAGTATATATTTTTTCCTTAGCACTTAGAATTGTGGGGAATTTGGGGTCGTATATATAGTTATAGATCTTCAGGACTGGTATTGCAAAATTAGTAAGACTAGTTTTGCAGATGTGCCCTGTGTTGTTTTTGAGAAACTAATTAGATGGAATGTGTAACAATGACATAAATTCCTCAACACAAGATCTCTTTTTAATATGTGACAGCATCTGAAACAAGAATTACTTCCTCATTAGGCGCTCTATTATTGGACGTATTTAAACCTCGGTTGGCTCTCTCTCTCACTGTTAAGAGTTATTCTAGGAGGAAGTTACAAAGTCAGAAAGAGGTATGGAATTAACTGATCTTACGTATCCATTTTTACTTCCATCCTAATCTAGGATACTAAAGAAAGTGATTTGTGTTTTGAAACTTGATTGTGAAAATGGTGATGCTGTATAAAAAAAAAAGTACAGAATGAGAACTTTTATGTTTCTATATCTGGAAGGAGGGGCCAATTGTAATATGTCTGGCTGCAGAAATCTAATACTCATTTGGGATATAAAAAGACAGTCAGAACTGAAGTCAAGATTCAGCCACCCATGGTCAAATAAATTCTGTTCCCAGACACCCTTGATTCTTGAAAAAAAATTGAAGTCTTGAGAAGAGGTAGGGCAAAAGGGCATGGATGAAGAGATTGTTTTCTTGAAGGTATAGAATCACTTCTAAATTAGATAACCGTGAAGTCTCATTTATCAAATATTTATTGAGCTCCTAATAAAACACATTTCATTATGTACTATGAACAGTGAAGTAAAATATTTCATCCTTGCTTTCCGAAAACATAGGAAAGGCATAGAAGACCACAGGCTACAAAGATTGGAGTATTGCTATAAAACAGTTACACACAGAAGTATTTGAGAAGTACAGGGGAATAAATCAGAAGAAGGGCCAGGACTAAGAAAAAGTAGAAAGAAGGATGAGGAAGCTTTCTGAAAAAGAGACAAATTTCTAGCTGAAATATGAAGGATGAATAGAAGTTGATCAATCATAGAAGAAAGAAATATCCTTCTAGGCAGGGAAGAAAAAAATAAATATTTAGTGGGTAAAATGTACATTATTTGAGTGATGAATACAATAAAAACCCAGACTTTACTACTATGCAATATATCTGTGAAACAAAATTGCACTTGTACCCTTTAAGTTTATATAAATTAAAAAGTTCACATATTGGAATGTTATTGCTACAGCCATTATCTCTCCTGGGAGAAATGTAATCACAGTTGAGCCAAAAAGAAAAAACATTGCAGGTGTGAATTGTTGCTATTCTCAGATGGCCCCCAATAACCGTACGCTTGTGTGGTTTACTCTCATTGAGTGTGGGAAGGGACTTATAACTTGTCTCTAATCTTACTAAAGATGATGGGATATCTCTTCTGTGATTACATTATGTTTAGGGTTAGCAGATAAAACACAAAATAAATCAACGTAAATTTCAGATTAAAAATATATGTCTTTTTAGTATAAGTATGTTTTATGCAATATTTGGGGCATACTTATGAAATCTGGCAATTCAAGTTACATGGCAAAGAGATTTTGCAGATGTCCTGGCTGACACCTTAATTACAATGATGTGAGACCTTGAGGCAAAATCCTAGCTAGGTTGTGCTTAGACTTCTGATCTACGAAAACTGAGATAATAGTGGATGTTGTTTTAAGCTGCTATTTTGGTGATAATTTGTTATGCATAATGGAAAATGATTACCACACACTTCTTCTTCTGTTCTCTAAATTACCTGGTAAGAGGTGTGGTTGTCTTGGATGGCTGGGATAACATACCTGCACATCAGCAGAGATTAGGAAGCCAGCCATTCCAATGAACTTCAAGGACACCCTATTCTCGAGTGAAAATGAACAGGTGAGAGGCACTAGCAGCCATATTTGGTGGGAGTGCCCTGGGTACAAAACATTTAAATAAATTTTATCTAGGATCCCAATTGACAATGAAAAAAATGAGAGACCCTAAAGCATATGGGGAATTTTGTAACAGAGTAATTACACAGTGAAATGGATAACCACACGAAATAATGACATCCCTGTTACAGTAAGTATTTAAGCACCCGATGATGAGGAAGGGAGGTCATTATATTATATATATGTGCATTGAAACATCACATTTTACACCATAAATGTGTACATTATGTGTCAATTACAAATTCCAAATTAAATAAAATATGTTGGCTCTTCTAGTTATTTTGCCTTTCCATCTAAACATTCAAGTCAGTTTGTTAATATCTACATATATATCATGCTTAGATTTTGATGGGGATAGAGTTGAATCCATAGATCCATTCTGGGAGAATGAACATCTTAACAATATTGAATTCAATCCACAAATATGGCATTGATATATCTCTGTACGTATTTGTTTCAAAATAAATTTTGGTGCTCTATTACACAATAGAGTGACAATAGCAAATAACAACGTACTGATTGTATGTAGCACAGCAAAGAAGAATACATACTTGTGCTTCATATGTGCCTTTAGTAAGTTTCCTAAACTTTTTTCCACCTCAATATCTATAGTATGCTACCTACCTCTTTCATGTTTTAATTTTGATTAAAATAAATAGATTAAAAGGAATTTAAAATTCATAAAACATTCAACAGCTGTTATCATACAGGATACTCATTTGTTGTTGTTCTAGTTTGAACTAAATAAATATCTAGAGGTGATTAATATTTGTTAAGGAATTTCTCCAGAAGTAAATACATATTATCAGAATATTATATCCATGGCTATTTGAATTCATAGAAACTCTGTAACGTGAAATATTGAGGAGTTTCTGTATACAGCAGCATTGGGTTCCAATGAAATCACCTACAAAGGAATTAGTAATTAGCAAGCTAGTCAAAGTAATGGGTCAAACTCATTTTATTGATTGCATTTTCAAACATCAACTGCCTAACCCTTCCTAGAGCCTTCCTGTGTAAAATGTATCTTTGGCATCATGTGTTCAGATGACTGGCTAATGGATAGAAACTGTTCTTAGAGATTTGTAATTGGCTCAAGACAATGCCTGCGTGACAAAAAAAATGGATCCTCAATAAAACTGGAAAACCTATAATAATATGTTTATTTAAGGCATATGCTATAGCTATGAAAAGACCAGGTCCTCTCATTTTCAACTGAGTGGGGTGATTTGCACATACTAGGTATTAAACCTATTTTGCACGAATCATGAAATTGATGATGTGCCCTGGCTCCTCCTGTCAGGATGTAAAGGTTCTAGGGTCATATGTTACATTGAAACTTCAGAAAAATCCATCTGTCCTCGACTAAATCTCACCTTCTGGCACCATGAGTTTCAACTACTATGGGAACACCCATGGGGGCTGCGAATATGGTTCCAGATATGGATATGGGTCTGGTTCTGACTGTGGCTGCTGTATCTACCAACCATTTTGCTACTGAAGATGCTACTCCTCTTGCTACTAGAGCATCATCCTAGAATCAGCCTTTGAAATAATATTTTAAGATTAATACTTCTTCCCAGGGGATATCCCATTTTAACATCTCTACATTCATGTAAGGATTGGATATTATCTGTTTTTACTTCAACAAACCTGTTCATTTTTGAGAAGATATTAATGCTCCCATTATGTTACCTGGAGACAGAAGATTTTATTCTAATTATATTCAAAATGTAAATTATTAGATTTTGCATGGCTGATCCATAAATACTTCTTAGTTGGAGGAAATTACACTTTTTTCATAAACAAATTTCAGTTATTTTTGTAAAAATTTGTGTTTTTTTGCGCTACAATCATCACTGACTTTAGTGTTTACGTCTTCCCTGGAATTTCGGGCAAGTGGTTTATTAGTGGAGCCTTAGATTTATTTATTCCTTCAATCACTACTTATTTATTGCCCATTCTTTCATCACTATCACATAGTTTTGTTTTTTGCAGGACTGTAGTAACTCAGCATTAGGTAGTGTGAGGCTTTCAACTTTGATTTCTTTTCAAAATTATTTTGACTGTGAGTACAAAATTATAGTCAGAATAAATTTTGGTGTTCCATTACACAATAGAGTGACTATAGCAAATGACAATGTATTGCATATTTCAAGATAGGTAGAAAAATTTTGAATGTTGTCACTAATGCAACTTTTGGATAACATTAAATGACTAAATAATCAAACTTGTTCTGTAGTCACCAGGGAGACGGAAGGTGACCCTCTGAAGCAAAGTTGGTGAACAAGCAATGCACATCTGGAGATGTGGGGATGTAGGGGCCTGGGAAGCCGTGGGCCTCAGACAGACTCTGGAGAGTGGTGGGGACATCCTGTAGAGGGAATCTGGGTGTCTGTTTGGGTAGGAGCCCCATGGGGACTCTGGGTGAACGATCTTTATGGTGCTACTCTTCAAACGACAGGGCCAAATAAAGGTTCTTGCCAGGCTAAAGCTCAACATCCCTCATGTTACTGAGATATAATTGATATAAAAGTATACATGTGTAATGTATATAATTTCATGAATTTGGACACATGCATATGCTCATGAAACCATCTCAACAGTGAAGGTAATAGACATATTCATCATCTACAAAAGATACCTCCTCTGCTCTCTTTGGTAGGAATACTTAACAGGATATCTACTCTGTTAATAAGTTTTTCAAAGTATGCAATACAGTAGTTAACTATAGCACAACAACTTTTCAATACATTAAGCCAGAAGGTAGAGTACCTTTTCTAAGTTTATTTTTCCTTCAGTATTCTCCCACAGTCTTGGAGTAGCATATAGATTCATCATATCTTAAAAATGCTCTATTATTATAGTTTATGATTTTTATGTGAAACTTTTCCTGTTAAACTTACTGTGTATTTCTGTCTCCTGACTGGGCCCAGACTGATACAGACAATTTTAGTTTTAGGAGTTATTTTATATACATAATATTGGAATCGGAGTAGCAGAGAAGATCTGAAGATTTTCTAGTGTGTAAAACGAGAAACAAAGATGGAGGGTGAAGCAACCACAAGAACCCCAGAATTTAGGAATAAGAGTGTTCTCAATGAAGAAAAGTCATGAAGTATGAATTCACTTATCACAGAAATAACAGGAGAAGATATGAAGTTAAAGAAAGAATGAACAGGAAATTTACAGAAAGGTCAACTATTATTAATGTCATAATGTAAATATCAAAAAAGTTTCTTACACGTAAAAATCATTAAAATTTTGTTTTGAAGAACGTAAATGTGACTAAAATCAAGAAAATACTGTGAAATGATTAAATCAAGTCAATTAACAAGTCAAATTTCTCACATATTGATACATTTTTGTGGTGAAAACATTTAAAATATACTGTTTCAGTAATTTAAAAATATATGATGCATTATTAATTATTATAGTCAGCATTCTGTGCAAGGGATTGCTAAATCTGATTTCTACTAACTAAAATTTTGTACCCTTTGATCAACATCTTGCCATTCCCCATCCATTCGACTTGATGGAGTAATGAATTATTGATTGATTACATTTTAGTGGGAAGCACTGATATATAACACAAACATGAGAGTACTCTGAGTAAATTCAAAAATGACATATGTTTAAGGATTACACCCTACAGTTGGATTTCAACAACAAAGAAGCTATGAACCAAGGATTTACCCTCTTTCTAAATTAGCAATCTTGGCAAAGTTTGTTTTTTAAATAATAAATGATACATCTCCTTACATAACTGACCTATCACAAGTTTAAAAACATTTTTTCCTCAAAGAAGGAAGAGAAGATCATAACCTGCATGGAAAAGAAGGGGATGGAAAAGCTTTTTTTTCTGAGGTAAGTAGAGAGTTTCAGAGAGTGGAGGTACCATGTGGATATACTCAATTCCCTGTCCAAAATCCCTGAAAAGTAATTTGAAGTGATTGTGATAAAAAACCAAAAGTGTTAGGAACGGATAAGAAGAAATGATGATATTAAGAACAGTGAGTAGAACTCCTTATTTAATAGATGATTCCCTAGACCTTACAAGAATAGAATGATAAACATACATTTATAGGTCAAATATATTTTGGTGACGTGTTACGTCACGAGCATGAAGTGAAATTATGGCAAATAAAATTATTGTTGTATAAGCTTGCATGTTTGGAACTTGTATGTTTGTTTTCTTTTCAGGCGTGAAAATATTCCTAGGGAAGCTGTAAACAAATTATGAATTCCTAAGAAAGTAGATGTATACAGAATGAGCTCAGTTTAGGCCATTAATTGTAAAATGAGCAAATAGAGCCCATATGAGGATGACCCATGCATCACTGGAAGTATATGAAGGTCTTGGAAGAGTAAAGGACACTCTTGCAGCTCCACTGAAATCTCACCTCCTGATACCATGCGTTGCAACCACTACAGAATCTCCTGTAGGGGCTGCGGATACAGCTCTCGCTGGAAATTTGGCTGTAGATATGGTTGTGGCTGTGGCTCTGGCTCTGGCTGTCGATACGGCTCTGGCTGTCAGTACGGCTCTGGATATGGAACTGACTGTGGTTATGGCTGTGGATATGGCTCTGGATATGGAACAGGCTGTGGCTATGGTTGTGGATATGGCTCTGGATACGGATTTTGCTCTCGCTATGGCTGTAGATACAGCTCTGACTGCTGTGGCTGCTGACCATTTTGTTACAGAAGATGCTATTCCTCTTGCTGCTAATCTTGACTACAGATCATCCTTGCTTTTGCAGTGACCTTTCCAAGATCAAGTCCAATTGAAATCTCCCCTATCCACTGTCTCCACATCTAAGTAAAGATACACTATGGTCCATTGACTACCTGAATGAATGTAAGAGAAGCTGTTTGCAGTGGATGGAGACTGGGTAGCTTCATGACATCACTGAAGAGAGGATATTTTATTCTGATTAATTTTCAAATGTGAATTCCGACATCTTTTTTTTCCACCTTTGTACCACGACTATTTGCAAAAGCACAAAAAGACTATATAATTGGAATGTACTAAAATAGAACAAAAATAGAATTTTCTTAATAAAAGGCCTTATTCACTATGACGTCTTGTCTCCTTAATGTCAGGATCAGCATTAATTGGAGGGTTTGTGGCTTCCTCAAAAGCTGGGTGACCATAACTTAAAATAAGACAATGTTATCTTATTGGTTGAACCCAAATACTTATATTTAACATATTTCTTAATTCCTTGTATGTCAATTATTTATATTTATATTTACATATAAACACAAATATCACACTCAAAATTTCAAATCATGCCAATTATTTATATTTATATTTACATATAAACACAAATATCACACTCAAAATTTCAAATCATGCCAATTATTTATATTTATATTTACATATAAACACAAATATCACACTCAAAATTTCAAATCATGCATGAAAAAATATTAGAATAGAATAAAGAATGAGACAGGGAATCTACTCATGAGGTTAATGCAGTAGTTCAGCAATGACTGTCTTGGTTGAGCTTAAGTCATATTTTGATGATGTATTATGCCATGGCTATGAAATGAAACAATGGAAAACAAAATTATGATTGTATAAGCTTGTGTGTTTAGAACTTGCATATTTGTTTTCTTTTCAGGCATAAAAATATCCCTAGGGAAGTCATAAGCAAATTATGAATTCCAAAGAAAGTAGATGTACACAGAATGAGCTCATTTTAGGCAAATGATTAGATTATAAAATGAGCAAATAGAGCCCATGTTAGGATGACCCATGCATCCCTGGAAGTATATAAAGGTCTTAGAAGAGTAGAGGACACTCACACTGCAGAAATATCCTCCTACACCTCAACTGAAATCTAACTTCCTGAAATCATGTGTTGCAACTACTACAGAAACTCCTGTGGGCACTGTGGATATGGCTCTGGCTGGAGTTCCGGCTGTGGATATGGTTGTGGCTATGGCTGTGGATATGGCTCTGGCTGTAGATATCGCTCTGGATATGGATTTGGCTCTCGCTGTGGCTGTGGATACAGCTCTAGCTGCTGTGACTATCAACCACTTTGCTACAGAAGATGCTATTCCTCTTGCTACTAATCATCACTACAGAACATCCTTGGCTTTGCAATGACCTCTCCAAGATCAAGTTCAATTGAAATCTCTCCTACCCATTATCTTCACATCTAGGTAAAGATTGACTATGGTCCCCTGACTATCTGAATGCATATAAGAAAAGCTGTTTGCAGTCGATGGAGACTGAGTAGTTTCATCACATCACTGAAGAGAGATTTTATTCTGATTAATTTTCTAGTGTAATTAATTTTGTAACGTAAACTCTTACCTTTTTTTCTTAATCTTTGTGCCATTTCTTAATCTTTGTGACTATTTACTGAAACATAAGAGGACTATATAATTGGAGCATGCTAAAATGGAAACAAAATAGAATTTTCTTAATAAAAGATCTTACTCACTAAGAAGTCTGGTCTCCTTAATGTCTCCTTAATTTGA